GGCCGATAGCACAGAGAGGTCTTACGAAGACCTCTCAAATAAAGGAGCTGCTGGTCATATCGAAGCTCTTGGAAGCGGCGAAGGAAAGCGTGCACCAGCGTGCTCCACGCCAGACTACCTGAATCGAATAAGAGTCTCTGCAGGGTCCGGAGGCGGAGCACACGAACCCGCGTGTGCAAACACATCAGGCCCTGCCCTCCCTCCCTCCTCCAGGGGGAGATGGAGAACCTCTGCAGAGACCCAGTGCAGTCCTGGCCAGAAGAACCACAGCATCAGCTGCTGGATATGAGCCAGGAAGCCCCGGGGGCGGGACCAGGGTGTTGAGACAGTTTGGAGGGGCAGGGAGGAGGGCAGGCGGGAGCTGATACGCCCAGGGAATTGTCTTTTAAGTCTGCTCCCTCCTCTCCCCCGCCTCCCACCTCTGTATCCTGCTAGTAGCTGTCTGCCCCCTCCCTGCATGTAAGAGTGTAACCAGTGAAAAATTCAACAGTTACACATTTACCAAAAAAAACATATTTGCTAACATCCCTACTATGCGATGAGGAAAGGGCTAGTGTGGCACATTTTGGAAGGGCACTAGAAAGTGCAATGTGGATGTCTTGACCATACCCCTTCACACAAGGCTTGAGAAAAATGTGACCATATGTATCTGAGTTTCTATGGGCAGTGCCATAACTAGGTATTTTTGTGCCTGGGAGAAAATATTAATTCTGCGTCCCTTCTGCTTAGGTTATTAGACATCACACTCTTTACTTTTGCAGCTTATTTTTACTTTTGCATCTTTGAGCCTCTGATTATGATGTGCCTGCTGCAAGCACCCCATTTGCCCTGCCCTTGTTACGGCCCTGCCTATGGGTCACTCGCAGCTGTAATTCTTTACTCCACACACTGATTAGATCAAAAAGCTCTGAGGTGCTCCAAGCAAGAGAGCGTCTTGAGCAATAGCCATCCCATTTCCCAAGAGAATGCCACAAGGTCCACTACCCAATGGGCCAGATAGCAGGAAATTGATTCTAAAGTTCCCTAGAGTTTGCAGGTGTGAGGAGCTCATTTTTGTTTATCTGTTTAGGTGGCAGTAGAGCAGTGGAGTTCAAAGTGCTGGCCAGACTGGCTAATTCGGCATTGCTGGGTATATCCTGGAATTCAATAAAACCCCTACTGTAGTACATGCTACATGATTGTCCACAGTAAGGAAAGGGGAGAGAGAAAAGTCCCTCACAAAGACTGAAGATTTTTGTTGCCAAAATTTTCCATTTTTTGCAACTTGTGTTGCAATATGAATACTCTCCGGGTTTTGTCACCAAAAAAGGTTTTTTGGTGACAAAACTTGCCAGTACAGACAAGCCCTGGTATTACCTATGCTAGCTGGATTCAGGCTGGCTTGTGTAGGCTAGTCTGTGTATAGCTTTTGCCATATATTTTTGCTGTTGCTGCACTTCAATTTTAGAAGCATAGACAAAGCTCCTGACTTCACCAGCAGGCAACAATTAACCACAGTATTTGTTTTCTGTTAGCTTGGCTACTGGGTATCATAATTAATGACTAAGACACTAATTAATGCACACTGTATTAAGGCTGATTTTCTAGCTTTTGTTGGACAGAATAGCTTTAAGATGTCTGGCAACGTTTTCGGATACATCTGTCTTCACAGAGTAAAAATTTAACAGAAGATTCTAGGTAGCTGAAAAACTCCATATGTGTCTGTTTACATATAGAAAGGCAAAGGCGGACCCAACTTCTGTTGGTAAAAAAGACTAGCTTTTACGTTTACACAGAGCTCTTCTTCAGGTTACATTTACATTGTTTAAACCAAGAGACTAACTCCAGAAGGCTTTAGTGCTAATCCATCTCGGATTACAGCAGTTGATTGAACAAATTATATATGATTACTGGAACATGTCTGTGTACTTGGGAAGACAGAATTGTCAGGACATTTAGAATTTATTCTTAGATTTTGTTACTGACTCCTATAACCACTTTTTTCCCCATTTGCAAAGTTGGGCTAATAATACTGATACATCTATCTGTCTCAATCATACACCTATAAATGCAAAATATTATTATTTGTGTTATTACTTTTAGTTTTAAAATATTTTTGTAAAGAAACACATTTTCCACTGATGTTTACCTCTATATTGTCAATAATTTGGAAAAAGTATGTTTATGTTTTTGTTCATTATGAGTTGAATTCTCTATTCAAACCCTTAATATAAATTTTTGAGCCATAATTGTTTGTTAGCTTGCTCAGAGATACATAGTTTATTATGAGATTTATTTACTAACAAAGCTTGTGTTTTCTGTGCTATGCAAGACTTGGAAAGTTGAGAATCCTTAGTCTGATTTTCAGAAGCGCTAGGCACACACAAATACCAATGAAATCAATGGGAGATCCTGATGCTGATGCTATGTATAATCAGGCTGGCATAACCAATAGAAAGTCTGTCCTTCCCCAGTTTATTACAAAGTAAAAATGACCTATATGTTACAGGACTTGAGAAGGCTCCTCTGCATTGACAGGGTAGCTTTGTGTAACCTGTTTTGGTGATGTACTGTACAATTTGTACCATGGGCGCTGGCTACTCAACCTCCTGCTCTGAGGCATGAGGCAGAGCAGGCGCAGGAAGAGACTGATTCCACCTGATTCCTTTCCCCATACCCTCACCCCATCTTCCTGCTCCTGCTCTGCCCCAATGTCCCACCCTTAATCCTTCCCCCAAGTCCCAAATCCTGGCACACCTTTTGGCACCCCCCAAATGCACCTTGTTTCTCACCTTCCTTTCTAGAGCCTCCTGTATGCTGTGAAACAGCTGTTTATGGTAGGCAAGAAGCACTGGAAGGGAGGGAAAAGCTGGCTGCCAGTAGGTGCTGAGCACCTGCTAGTTTTAGCCAGTTTCAGGGGAGACCATCCATGCAGTAGGTGCCTATAATTTGTACCAATCTATATTAGGGCATTCTGTAGCATCTGTGAATATAGCATCTAAATGGTGCAAATTTGCTCTGAATGTACAAGTACTTTTATGTGTTTAGTTTATTCCTTTCCATTTCAAATTGCCATCTGCCTTCACTGTGCTATAGAACTAATACGAAGGTGGCATATAATCATAGAATATTAGAACTGGAAGGGACCTCATGAGGTCATCGAGTCCAGTCCCCTGCCCTCACGGCAGGACCAAGCACTGTCTAGATCAGGGTTGGGCAATAATTTTTGATGGGGGGGCCACTCCAAGAATTTGGAAAGTGGTTGAGGGCCACACTCTTCCATGATATTGATGGAGGTTAGGTGCAGAAGAGAGCTTGGGGTAAGGGATGGAGTTTGAATGAGGGAGGCAGTTGTGATCCAAGGCACTGGACTGGGGTGCAGGGGGTTGGATTGTGACCTAGGGCAGGGAATTGGGGTACAAGAGGTGGTGCAGGGGTTTGGGTTGTGATCTAGGGCAGGAGGGGACTGTAATCTGGTGCAGGGTATTGGGGTGCCAGATCTGAGAGAGGGTATGGGATTTGGGTATGTGGAGTAGGGAGGCATGTATGGGGGACAGAGTTGCGGAAGAGAGGGGCTAGTGTTCCAAAAGCAGGCTCTGGCCAGGAGACTTACCAGACAGCAGCCCAAACAGCCTGCACTGCAGTCATGTACTCTATGAATAACTACGAACCCCTTGTGCTTTATGGCTGCCAGTTATTGGAACAGGCACCTCCCATTGCCCAGTTTCTTGCCAGAAGCCAGCCAATGGGATTGTGCTAGAGGAAGGAGCAGCTCCTAAAGCTTACCTCCTTCCCTCCAGGCTCAGTTTTCAAAGTGAAACTGCCCTGCAACCGTGTTTCTGAGCAGCATGCGGATGGGGTGAGGCAAGCAGGAACGTGCCTGGGGCTCCCCGCAGCATTCATTGGCTTGATCTGGTGATTTGGTGGTCCAGATCTGGCTTGTGGGCCGTAATTTGCCCGGGCCTGGCCTAGACCATCCCTGATAGATATTTATCCAACGTCATCATCATCATCAACAACCATGGGCTCAACGCCCGTTGGTGCCTCCCTCACTATTTCCTTGTATCTTTTCTTGTCCAGTACAGAGTGGCTCTGCACCAATCTACTATATCATCTACCCATTCTCTGTGGGGTCTTCCTCTTCTATTCGGACCATCCATTATGCTGAATACCAAGGTCTTAACTTTTTGCTCATCGTTCATTCTGCAGATATGCCCAAATAGCTGTAACTTCCGTTGTATAACCTTCTGCAGTAGGTTCTCTTTCGGCTGTATCTTTCTATGTAATTCCCTGTTGGTGACCTTCTACATCCATCCTATTCTCAGGATCTTTCTATAACACCTCCTCTCGAATGCCAATATCCTTCTCTTAGAATCTTTCGTTATCACCCATGTCTCATGTCTGTACAACATACTGCTAAATACACACGTTTTCAAGATGCTCAGCTTCATTCTTAAGCTAATCACTTTACTTTTCCAGATCTTATCCATCACCTTCAAACTTGCTCTTGCTTTCGCTATTCTAGTCGCTATTTCCTTCTGACAATCTAGATCATACAGCATGTTGCTCCCCAGATTCGTGAACTTCTCTTCATTCTCTAGTTTGATCCCATCTACACTGATCTTCCTTCCCATTTCCTTATTTCTAAATACCATTGTCTTTGTTTTATTGATATTCATAATCAGTCCATACCACTTCCCTTCCTCATTTAGCACCTGCAACGTCTGATGGCCAAGTGCTCAGGGCACTCCAAGACAGGACTGCTTTGCAAGCGAGACACCCCTGAGAACTGTCTGTCCAGGGTGGGGGTCGGGTCCCTTTAAGCACAGCCCTCGGCTAGCCTGAGGCAGCAGCTCCACGTCCTACTCTGATGCCCTGCCGGCACTGCTTCTGGCCATCCTTAACCCCGGTTCAGGGTCCACTTGATGTGGACATGCTAGTTCGAATTAGCAAAACACTAATTTGAACTAGTTTTTTAGTCTGGATGCGTTAGTTCGAATTAGCTTAGGTCAAATTAACAAATTCAAACTAAATTAGTTCAAATTAGCGCTGTAGTGTAGACATACCCTAATTGGCTTAAGTGTTTAAGTTCTACCTTGGCAGCACGAGTGACCCATTAAAAATTGAGGGGAACAACAATATTTAGATATTTCCATGAATGCTCAAGTTTCATATATCTGAAAGGGTAAGTGTTGTGTGACCCATCAGGGCATTTTAGGAAAATGCAACATCTCCCTATTTGTAACTAATGCATGAGCATTGATAAATATCACTGCAGACCTTGTTAAGGCACAGAAATAGTACTAGTTTAACAGGACTATAGCCAGTACAGCTAAATTGGACTTTTTGCATCATTTTGATACTAAACTCTAAAGTAGATGCAGTTTATATTAGCTTGTTTTGCTAGGATAGCTGAGTAAGTAAAAGCATCCGTATGCCACATCAATACTTTGGGTTGCCAGTGTCACTGTACTAGCTAACTCTTTCTAGTATAGTACTGGTTGTTTTAACAGCTCATGAATGTTCCCACAAGTGGGTACATTGATTTAACTAGCCTAGTTTCTAGACAAGCTAATTAAGACCCAATTTCCTTGTTTAAACAAGGCCTTCAGGCAAAGTGACACATGCACATCCTTAAGCAGGAGACGGAACTACAGCAAGTTGTTGGAAGGAATGTCCACAATAGCAGAAAAATGGAATTGACCTTTGGAAGACCTCACAAGCTAATTCAGCCAGCCATCAAATTTTGAACACCATTGACATGTCACCTGCACCTGCAGTTTTTCCAGACAATTATGTTAACCTGCACTCATGTTTGTACTAGTTTTAGTCCTAACACTCATAATAAGCAAGTAGCGGTTGAAAGGAGTCAGTTTTACATTGACACAAAGATCATAGTATTGCGGTTTAACTGTCAACTGCTTTATTTCATATGTCCCTTAGTTAAAATCCTAATCTTAACTTTTGTTGTTTCTAGCAAATCAGCTATGATAATCACTAGGATAACATTCTCTCTAGCAAATCAGCTATGATAGTCACTAGGATAACATTCTCTCTCTGGTTCAAAGACGACCAAGTTACAGTTCATGTATAAATTTAATCCAACATGAGTGGCAGCAATTTGCCAGTGTTCTAGTTTGACAGCTACAAACTAGACATGGGATGCCCATGACTCCAATGCTTCTCTGCTGCTGCTGCTAGTTTCCCCAAAGTTGCAACAAGGCAGTTATCAGTTTTTTGGGTGTCCTTTTAATTCCAAGGATTACCTGTTCAGTCATTTTTAACTGACTGTTTCATTGCTATGATAGCATTCTACCTACCTGGCTCATGGATCATGTAATGGACCCAGCCCAGACTTTGTTGGACACCAAGTCTTCTCCACTCCTCTTCAGACATTAGATGAGTTTTTGGTACTTGCTTTGAAAGTTCTCTGGGTAACATCACGTGTCTGTTGAAAACATTATTACTAAAAATGTTAACAGTTTCTTTGATAACACCTGTATTTGTAGGCCATAACCTTTACTGCCTTTCCTACAGCAATGTCTTGAGCAGGGTTCAAAGTCTGCCAGACACCAAAAAAACTTCCCGACAAGATCAGGCAACTCATGATTCTGACCACCAGTGGGAAGCCCATTACACTTTTCCCAAGACACGGTTACCCCTCCCAATTTATTTCTGTGACAGCTGCTGGAAGGAAGTCTACCTGTTCTCAACTTTCCTGGGAGTTTTATTCACTATCCTAATAGGAAGGGCTTGACAAACCGCTGATTCTACTCACCCGTGACAAGTAGATTTCAGCCAGTTGCTCCGTGCGCCCCATTCACCGGCGCTGTGCATACGCATGTGTGGTGTGGGGCTGGCAAGTAGCTCTCGCCACGGTTTGTCAAGCCCTCCTAATAGGGATGTAGAATTTTGATATTTGGCTAATAAAACAGTCAATGCCATTTGTATTGATTAGTCAATAAGGATGCTTTGGCCTTTTAAGTGTAGCAGGGCTGTTGCTACACTTAAAAGGCAAAAGCGCTTCAGGGAGCATGGTGCCTGGGATCAATGGGGAGTCCCCAGTTGGCCCTGGGCTGCATGCAGTATTTCAAATCAGCAATCCGGGGTCTGGCCCCAGGCAGCACTGCTGCCTTGAAGCACCCCTTCCCTCTGCTGCTTTTCTGATAGTCAACAAGTTGTTCACATCCCTATATCCTAGAAAACATATCAACTGTTTTAGCTCATGTAGATGTGCTAAATTCATTTGATGTGCTAAATCTTGAAATCCAAGAACCAGTAGAGTAGATGTTAAACCTTCAGCTATGTAAGGGAAGATGTAATCATGCACCCTCACCTGAAATAGGAGCTAGTCTACTACAGTGTTTCTCAACCAGTGGTACAAATACCCTCAGGGGTACTCAAGAGAAGGCGGAGGGGAGGGGAGAACACAATTGAAATTTGGAGAAAACTGAATTTGTGTTAAGATTTACAGCGCTTTATTATTTTTGTAGTTTTTACACCCAAACATTTCCATCACCCACCCGGTTACGATTAAGCCATTTAAACAAATGTGTTGCAATGGTAGAAAATTTTGTATGTCTGAAAACTGTAGATACTGGAGGGTACCTATAATTTTTAAAGGGGGTACTTCATAAAAAAAAGTTGAGAAATACTGGTCTAGTGCATAGTTATTAAAGCACTGCGCCCCTGGCAATTATTGCCACACTGTTTAAGAAACTAAAGGAAACTTCTGTATACCTAACCAGATAAGTAGTTTTAGGAAACACAAAACAGCCATGACTCCTGATTTATCACTGCCAAGTCAACTGCTGACCAAAAGGAATATGACCTTTGCCCTTGAATACTAATCTATTTGTACATGTAAATGAAACCTATCTTGGTGAGATAAAATTTAAAGAGTCACAAAACTAAGACATAGGACATTTCATAGGGCACTTAACGGTGTTTACATATTCCTCTCACAGTCCAAGTAGCATTCTGCCTCTCTATTTACAAGTTGGTCTCACAGCATTGTTTCAGCCTTGAACAAACAAACAAACAAAAAAAAACACACAAGGGGCCTTGGGCTCTCTGTTCTTAACCGGCATATAGAGGTTACCTATATGTAACAGAAGTAGTTACCCTATCATGGCATATTTACTACCAAGATGCAGGTTGTTGTGGGTCTTAATTCACATCAGTGTTAAATTGCCAAGACTCTCCTGCATTGTAAAGCAGCTACACAGGAAAAGGTTGTGCCCACCTCAGGCCACGTGGCCTCAACGATCTTGTGTTAAGGGATTAGGGCAGCAACTACCACAGTCGGAGCTTCTGAAGCAGTGAAAGCCATCAGGTTATAAGGGAGCCAGAGGCGCCTCCCTGATGTTGCCGACAGGGAGTTGCCATTGTTGTCACCCCAGAGACTAGGATCATTTACAAGCAGCAAAACACAGTCGAAACTGCCAACGGCGCAACACGCATGTCTGCTCCGAGTGGGAGAGGGACCTGCGAGGGCGCAGCAACGGCTGCTAAGAGTTCCCTAGTGACTTTCAAGGACTTTTCCCGCGATCTCACTAGCTCAGCTCTGGCGATGCGCGCCTCCTTAGCCGCAGACACAGCGCGACTGGCGCCAAACAAGGCCCGCGAGCCCTTTTAGGGTCCGCCCAGCCCGACCGCCCCAGGCTCCCCTCGCTGTGTCCCCGACCCCTGCGGGGGGCCACTGCAACGGCCCGCCCCCCCCTTTTCCAGCGACGGCGGCTGTGCCAGAGGCAGATGGAGAGAGCCTGAAAGCCCCCACGCGCCCTCCCATAGCCAGAAAGGGAGCAGCAGGGCAAAGCATTTGCGCGCCCTGCGCTTCCTTCCCGACAGACAGGGGGTGAAGGGACCAGAGAGGAGGGGCCCCGGCCCTACGCACCGATACTCGTAGTGCTCGTCGAAGTATTTGTCGGAGTAGTAGATCTGCTTGTGGGCCATGGCGAAGGCAGCGGCAAGACGCAGCTCCGGTTCCTCAGCCTGAGGCAGCGCCCGCTGATTAATAACCGACCCGGTCGGCTTTCCACTCAATTTGAATCCAACAAATCAACGTTTATTG